TAGCATGACATTTATTAGGAATAAAGACTTCTGAGTTCTGATGCATTTCTGCATGCGGGGGTCATTATGTTACCGCTATGCGGTGTCTAGTTTTTTTTAGCTGATGGTGGAGGAGGTAGATCTGGTATTTCTGTTAACGGAGAAGTGACAGACATTTTGCAAATTTACCACGAAGAAATGGCTGCCATTTCCAACAGAAGACAGTTCTCCATCAGTACAAAAATCACTCTTTCACTGCCAGCACAGCCACAAAGAGCCACCTGTGTCTCCATGCTGTCTCCTTCATGGACTATTATGTGGATACCGTTTAGCGTGCCGCCTACCGGAAGCAGCGCGCAATGGTTTGTGGGATTGTTTGGGGGCAAACAAAAGAAAAGTAAACAATGGAACAGGTTATGTAAATGTGTAAAGTTTTGATTGTTGCGTGTATTAAAATGTTTATTTTGGTTCACGAGGTACCAACATCTAATCAGAAAAAAGGACAAACTTGTCCAGAACCTTTACCTGCTCAAATGTTGGGATTATTGCCTAAAATAGCAAACTGGACATGCAATACAGAGGTAAGGTTATACTGTTGTGCACTAATATAATGTAATAATTACTATAGTATGGCATTATATTAAATCTAGTTTTGCCAGAGAAAATCCCAGTGATCATATTAACAATGCTGAGCAGTGGTGCTGGATAATCTAAAATCTTGAGGCAGACAGACCTATGATTTATTAAATGTTGAGTATGAAACATCCTTCTTGGCCACACATCAAATTTGGCTTAAATATTAATTCAAATACGTGTTTTTGTTTTAACGGTGGTAAATGCATTTGTTAGTGTGATCTGTAGCTTTCTGTATGGTGTATGTTATTGTTAATAAATAAACCATATAGAGATGTGGTCAAGTTTAAGATAGTCCATACTTATATTTGTGATATCAAGTGGTTAAAATGATCAGGAAATATGAAACACAGCCCAGATCTATGTAAACTACGTCAACATATTTAACGCAAGATCTACTACCGAGTAGCAATAATCTTGTGTTTTCATTATTCTATACATTTAAACTTATTTTTCATTTATCTATGATCATTGTTGCACATGTACACAAGTAAAACACTGCGCAGCGATCTCCACAACCCATTTTCACCGTCATTCAATTCACACACCAGCACCGGATGCCCCCAAACTGGACCATGATGCTTTGCGTTAGGCAAAGATGGCGGTATCCGTGAAATAGTCCATGCTGCAGCAATCTGTTCTTGTCAACAGCAACTGAATAAAAATGACACCAGTGTAGGTCACCTGCTTCTCTGTATAAACACATCCAAAGTTCTGACCAACACAACACCTGGCGTATACCCTGCAAGACAGGTTCTTTCTGAAGGTGATGGTCAAACAGAGCTCTCAGCAGGGGGTGCAAGAAGAAAAATATGGCCACGTCAGCAAGAAACGGCGTCTTTCACTGTGAAAAATCTGGGTTAGACCAAGAGCTCACTGGAGGGATTATATACTGTATCCCCTTTGGCCTGGGAACACATAAGGCCAGAATTGGGCCCTTTCTTTCTGTTGCTTCCATGACCTGACAACAGATGAGCAGTAGAAGATGGAGATGAAGATGGAGATGAACAAAGCGTGAGCACCACTTCTCAACAGTTTAAATAAGGCAGAGCTTTGATGTGAGAATGTGCCAGAGTTAGAGATAACTACATTAATAGAAAAACTGGCTGGTGAGCCGCTCTTTGTTTACCTAAGTTGAACATTAAATATTAATTAGAGAATGTCTTTTGTAGTTTCATGATCAATCCTACCATTAACTACAGTATTATAACATCTAGTTGCACTCACTGCATTTTAAAAAAATTAAATAAACACTATAAATAAAAATTAAACCATTTATTAAATGTTGTGTTTTTTTTTTTGTTTTTTTTTTTTTTAGAAAAACACTGCACCACATAGGATTGTTAAAATAACACGACCTGACAAGTTAATATTTAATTGTAAGGCTCAACAACTCTTTGCATTATTGCATTATATTTTAAGATGTAATCATCACAATCTAAAATTATAGAATTATATGATAAATAATGTGACTGAAAACCCTAAACAATATAAAAGGGTTTGTTGTCAGAATTCTTGAGTTTTGAATCTATACACCTAAAATATTGCTTGCGATGAGATGTTGAATAATGTTTTTCTCATATTTTAAATGTGTATTTTAGTTACTAATAAACTGCCTGTTGGAATTATGTGTGCAGAGAGTTACAATTATTAACCAGCTTTTTTTTTCTTTAATGACTTTGCCAAGTTAATTTTCTTTTCATTTTAATCCTCACAAGTTGTCACTACGATAAAATTCCAAGAAACATTAACTTTACTGGAGACAAAAAATGAAAAAAAATCAACTCAGATTCCAAGTATTTAGCAGCAGACTCATTAATTTGTGTTTATTTTTAGTGGCCAGTTCCTTGTCTCTTCATCACTGGCAGCAGCGTAGTTATCCACAAACATGAGAAGCAATGACTGAGTGAACAAACATCATCCTGTCACCACCTTGAAGCCTTTTAACTTCCCCTCCGTTGTTCCTCATGGGCTCATCCGTCAGAAACTTCTCTTCAGTGTTTGTTTTTTTCTCTCTTCTCGACTCTCTCCAATGGTTTGATTTGATTTTGGCAACGAAACAGGATTTCTGTAAATAATAAACTTTCAAAGCAGCGGAAGATGCTGGAATGACAGGGTGAATGGAGGAAGAAAAACAAAAGAGGAGGAGGTAAAGAGTGGGAGGCTGCAGGCCTCACTGCTGGACCCGACGCAGCGACTGCACCTGGAAGGACTGAGCGTGGGAGCCCCACTCCCTGTAGTGTTTGTACTCGCCGCCGTGGCGGTCGCACTCCATGATGTACTGGTACCCACGGTATCCTGGAAACTGGTAGCATACCCAACTGGAGGAGGAGAGAAGAGCAGCGAGTAAGAACACAGGAAGTGGAAATGAAAACAAAGCAATGTGAATATATTGTAAAGTTTCCTCTATTCTTGTCACGTGTGGATGTAAACACACATTAAGCTTACCCAGGCACTCATAGATAAAACTCATAAAATATGTGTGAGTTTTCTAAGGGGCACTTTATTCTCACTGAGAAGAGAAGCACTTTGATTCATCCAGAACAAGTAACCTGTGATGATTCCTATGGTCGAGAAGGTGCAAACAATGACATGGGGTCATAAAGAGTAAAAATGTTGCATTTAATTGTGAAATAGTGGCAGCTTTGGCGCTGCTGGAGGACATCGCTAAAAAAAACAACTGTGTGTGTTTTCAGAGGTCATATTGACATGCTGGCACTCAATGGGCCTCATGCAAGAACTGTTCGTACGCACAGATTTGTTCTTAAGTTGTGCGTACGAGTGATTTAGGAGAATTTGTGGCATTCACCAAT